CCCCAAAACCCCAAAACCCCAAAACCCCAAAACCCCAAAACCCCAAAACCCCATACAATATTTAATGCTTTGAGATTAATAATAAATATGTTCGGAGGATCGAAGTCCAACATTCCTAATTGGAACAACAACAAGACCACTGAGAGCCAGGATGTTTACTGAGAAGGAGGCCCAGAAGATACTATATCTTCCATTAGGTTCTCCAATATTCCTAATCTGGAGACAGAGCCCCAGTTCATATCTTGCTCATCATGGGACGGTACTGTGAAAGTCTGGGAAATCAATGGGTCCTATAATGGGCTTGCTACAAAAGCAGTAGGAGGGACATCTATGGATGCATCTATATTAGGTCACTGCTGGTCACCAGACAACGCTATGCTCTTTGGAGCATGTGCAGATAATCAAGTCAAGGCATGGGATATTAGTTCAAACTCGGTTCAACAGGTTGGAGTTCACAATTCCTGCGTAAAAGATGTATTCTTCTGAGACAAGAATAATGTACTAATCACAACTGGATGGGACGGGCACCTCAAGTTCTGGGATATGAAATCAAGCACTCCTATTTTTGATATTTCACTTGAGCCATTGAAGATTTGGTCATTCTCTTACTGATACCCATTATTAGTTGGAGGTTTGAGTGATAACTCCATTTTCGTGTTTAACATGGATAGCATTACTCAGAAACAATCAAACCAGCCAGATATCGTAGTTCCAAGTCCTCTAAAATTCCAGACAAGATCTGTTGAAGCTTTTCCAAATGCTCAAGGTTATGCAGTAACTTCTATAGAAGGAAGATGAGGAATCAAAAATATTGACTTCAATAATCTGAAGGATAAGTATAATGAAGATTTCAACTTCAAGTGTCATAGAAAGCAAAACCATAATAATGATGTATACCCCGTACACCAGACTTCTTTCAACCTTAAGTACATGACCTTCGTTACTTGTGGAGGGGATGGAAATTACTTCATTTGGGACAAGGATAAGAGAAAAAGACTAAAGTCAACAGGAGGATGTGATGCTCCTATTACAGCATGTAGAATGAGTCTCAGTGGATCCATGATCGCCTACACCTTTGGATATGACTGGGCTAAAGGAAGCAATGCTTCTGGAGGTTGCCCAGTAGGTTTATTTATTCACCCAACATCAGAGAAGGAAATAAAGAGTTCATCATAATAATTTCAGAACAAATAGTAGAATCAATTAAAGTCCAATTTTTAGGGGTTTTGGGGTTTTGGGGTTTTGGGGTTTTGGGGTTTTGGGGTTTTGGGGTTTTGGGG